TGAGAGACCTTGCACAGTTATGCACACAATGAATTCCAGCACTCATCTGTCCTTAGAGCTAGAAATTATTTCCCAATGCCTAACCTAAATCCAATCTCTCATCTACTTTACTCATACACTTGAGATCTCTTATTTGCCATTTCTCAGAATACTGCAACCCCAAAGCATTTTGGGTGGCCTGCAATATATGTAATAAATCTTGTCTCTGGGACACTGAGTGAAGGATTACTGTTCTTTATGTGCCAAAATGAAAATGCAAAGCTTGACATTTATGTCTGTTTCTGCTGTTATCTGCTGTTTCTGCATGGCTTCTAGCACTGTTACCCAGTCACAGTTATCAGTCTAAAATGTGACTGTGACTACAATAAGGCTCCTTATACCTTCATGCAGCCACATAACTTGAAAGACCAGAACTTCTGTTATTACTGACATAGAGAATACTGTTTGGAAAAAGGTATAGCAGGTACGTCATACAGAAACCTCCAGTATTTCTTACACCGTTGTGATCCTATTTCAAGGTTCATGTAATTTCTGCCTGTATCTCTTCTATTATGTTTTGTATGTTTTGTTTGACACTTACCTCTGAAGGTATGTGATGTAGCAACCGTTCCCTGTCACCTCTTATTAGCAGGAGAAAGCCACCTTTTATGATGGTTCATAGGTACAATCTTAATACACATAATAGTAATTATATCTGGAAAAACTTGCTCCTTAACAAGTTTTTGTGTTCTTAGTGTAACTAAAATTTGCTGTGTTTATCTTGTTTTACATACTTCTATACAAGAAACACTGTAGTTAGGCAATTTGCCATTTGGAAGTGGTAGAGAATGAACTTACCACAAAGCTTTATATTGTGAATTATTAGGAATTCCAGTTGTCACAAAACTGTTATTACTGTGTCTAACAGCACCTATTCTGCAAGTTTCAAATACTGCCTTGCCCTGAGAGGCACCATGGAGTCATCAGCTTCTTAGGAAATTCACAGAACCTGGGAAGATGCCTCTCTGAATCCATTGATCTCCAAAAACCACACAAACAACAGAAGTTTGATAAAGTCAAACATAATATTCAGGTTAATTTTTATTTGTTAATTTAAAGCATTATCATTGCAATAATAAAATACGATTCAAAAATATGTAAAACTTTCAAAACCTTTGCTTCTTTGAAGTTCCTAAGTATGAAATGATGAAATGGAAAAAACATGTGTTTGTTAGTATGTTCCAGCTCATCAATAAAATTTCTAGCATAGCCTAGGCCTTTTGCAGTCCTGAGCATTGTCACAAAGAAGAAATTCTGTGCAATGCAAAGCAAAAGAAAAAAGAAAATGTCTTGAGATACTCTTTTTATGCTTCAACAGCATGGCATTCCAGCTGACATACTCATGGTATTAAAGCATTCGTGCCTCGAGAAATGCTCTGACTTTCATCAAGTATCTCATTACCACAATTAAACAGGCTTTGCCTTACAGTATTTAGAATAATTCCAGGACTTAACTTCATTAACCAGTCTATTTTAGCAAATTTGTGTTTTATGTACATGGAAAAAAACTTTCAGTTGGTAAATCTGTACTCATAGCTGCTAAGTAGCCTATAAACAAACACAGATTCTAAGATGAGACTCTAATAACTGAGTCTAATTTGTCTTAAATTCCTGAAGTCCTGCAGTACCTGTCAGATGCCCAGTGGGCGATTCACAGCTTGCTGACTAAAATGAGAGCCCCCGGGTTACTGGAGCTAATAAATAACATTGCATATTTCTGCCGTTAAAGGCTGTTGAAGTGCTATAAGGTAAGAAGGACAGAATCAGCTTTTTTGTTCTTTAATACTGATGCACAGATTTAATGCTTTAGCACTGACACCTCTCACATAAGAAGTCACCATTCATTCCTGAAGACCCTCATCGCTGACTGAACTGATTTGCCATAGATCTGTCACTAACCAGGCCTGGGCTGAGTGACATCACTGTTTTGAGAATTAGATGGTCTTCAGTGCAAAAAGTGAAAACAGGATTATTTTCCCCCAGGTGAATATATGGGGGAAGGGGAACACATGGGGACAGAACTTGCTGAATAGTACATAGAAAGTAGGAGCTAAGGCCTCAATTGTTCCAAAAATTGTTTGACAGGATCGTTGGAAAAGAGGAAATGGATACCTTGCAGAGTGAACTCCAGATATAGTGAAGCATGAGATGAAATCAGAAAGAGATCAACAGCAGCATTAGACATACACATTTTTCAGCCATTATACACAATTATTTCTTATTATAGAAAATAAAGGAGTACTTTTTAAAAGGCACACAAGGCATTTGTTATTTTGTACATTCTGAAAGATAAGGAAGACCAGTGATTTCTAGAAATCTTTCTAATGCTAACAAATTTGCAAAAAAATTTGCAAGACTGTCTGATCATATGCACTTCGTAATTTTTGCAAATATGTAAAGAAATCTGATGACACTTTATTTCTTTATTGCATAGAAAAATATCACCCCAATTCTTTTAAGAAAGACTTTATCTTCTCATTAATGTTGGTGTTGCTGAAATTTTTTTTATGAAGATGCAGATGAGAACTCTACTGCTAGGTATATCAAGATATTTATATTATTAGATTGTAGATGGAAGTCTCATAATTTGTTTCTTTCATCTGCTACCGTCTTTTTATCATCTTAAGGAAACACTCCCTGTATTAAACATTTTGCTAATCTCTTCTTTTGCTGAGACTCAGAATAGTAGCTGCTAATGCATCTCACATCCAGCTATTGGAGTTCTTGTGCATTTTATTGTAATAAGAAGTATTGTACAAAGAAATATTCTAGTTGTAGGAAACAAGAGTTATGCAGTAAATGTGCTCCCTCTGAAAGAATCAAAGACACAGCTGTATCAGTCTACAAGTTGTCTTTCCATTGGTTAGAAAAGCAAAAGCCCAGTTGTTTTTTACATGACAGTAAAATTAGCCACCACCACATCCCTAAGGAATGGAGTTTCCATATTCTTAATATCTTAGACCATAGATTGTCATTAGGATTCCTTTAGGCTTTAAAATAATACAACAGTGAAATGAGAATTCTTTCATCTTAAGACAACTTTGATGATGATAGCTAATAACAAAGAGCTCATTTCTTCCCATAGAGGGTAGAATTATTCTCCAAAACCTCAACAGCACCTCTTCCCACTTGGCATAGAGATGGAAGCTCTGTTGTTGCTATTGCTATAATCATATTATTTACAGACTGTTTACAGATGAAGCTGCCTTGTGGGTGTGCTGCCTATTTCAGCTGGAAGTAGAAGGCACTAGCTCAATATATCTGGCTGACTTGGATGTGTGATTGAACCACATGAACCCACTGGCTCATCTTAATTTGATAAACTGAAAGCTGAAGCACAGAAAATCCAGAAAAGGCCAGGAGGACAACGTGCAGCTTTCAAATGCCAATCCTTCCATGTGTGTCCCTCAGAGCATGACTGACAGAGAGGGTGCTTTGCCCCCTCCTTCACAGCCTTTTCTCCACCACGCTTCCTACCTCTTCCACAACGTTCATCCACCCATGAGCTTCCTTGACTCTCCTCACTAAAGGCATTGCTAACTACATCCATCAACTTCACTCTTTTCATCACAGGAGGCTCTCTGCCATGATTCCTTACTATTTTGCAGTCCTAAATTTGTCTAAGCAATCCTCTCACACTACAGATTCAATCCTGCTTTCCAAGCACATTCTTGCTATACTTGACTGCTTTTCAGCTGCTTCTGTTCCTCTTTGCATATTTCAAGAGCCAACAAAAGAGCTGGTTGAGACCTCCTGGGGTGATTAACACAGACACTACAATTATTCCAAGCTTAGGTACAAACTGATGTGGATGGTCCCCACCAGAGATCAGAGATAAACTGATCATCTGGAAGTGTCTGCCACTGAAACAATTTCTTGTCAGCTGGAAAGACGATCTCAGCATCTTGTTTCTCAAAAAGTTGCAAATGTCACCAAGAAAAGGAAATTAGCTTGCTGCATTGCATTTTTCTACTGTTACCCCTTAAAAGATTTTATAGACCTACAGCTTGTATTATGTCAAATCAATATTTTTCTTGTGAACCACAGAACAAATGCACTAAATCATTAGTGATTTTTAAAATAAGCTTAATTCCATTTATTATATCAGTACTTGTATCTTGCATTACTGACAATTCCACAAGACAATTCACTAGAACAGAATGTCGGCTGCAAGAGGAGAGAATTTTATCTTACAGAGCTACTGACAAAGGACTTAGAAGAGCAGCAAATATTTTGACAATATCCTACTTCCCAACAACTTTAAAGAATGCCATTTAACTGAGGGATAGTTTTCTGTGATATAGTGGAGTTATATGCAACTTTTAGGGCTTAATCCATCAGTTCAGATTCTGGACAATTACTCAGGCGTTGTGGACTAAGTCTTTCTGTAAATAATGTTCAAGTAAATATGAGATAGTTCCTCTGTCATCACTGTTGGAAATGTAATAGTAGCCACAAGCACAGGGCAGCTTTTCTTTTCCATGGAATAAACAATAGAAAAAGTTATGGTAACTGTGGAATTAGACATTTCTAAATGCTTGGTGGATATATGTGTGAAATACTTTCCACTGTGGTATCATGAAAAGACATTACTAAAGGCATACATAACTGTGAATTTTGTAATTCCCATTAAGCTGTGAGGGAATTACCTAATTTTTGCTTGAAAATACAGACCTTGGTGATATGCCACAGTCTCAGCTCTAGTGTTGACCCTGGATAAAAAGAGAGCAAAGAAGTCTAGGTTTGAAAGAGCTGAGTAACACCAAGGGGAACTGTACCTTATGTGTTCTGAATGACGGGCATGAGCAGACAGGGAGGACTTTGCTCCTCCCCGCAGAGGTCCATTCACCTCCTGCAGAAAGCAGTCCCTCTTCTACTCCTGCACACAACCCTACTGCAACCAGACAGACCTGGAAAGCCACAGCTGGATTTTTAATCTACGTTAATTCCACCTTTCCAAAGGTCTCCTCTAGCTGACTACAGCGCCAAGCAATTTCCTTTGCTGATGCTTCTCCGCAGGGTTGCCTGGATACACATCTCCTTGAGGATCTTGCTGATTAGAGCGCGGCTGCAATTTGGTGATTTGAAGACTCTGATCTGTCATCTAGATACAGAAATCCTTAGCAAAAAAGAGTAATCTGTCAAAACCCTGCTTTAGCCAAGTTACTTACACACAGTTATCCACAAAAAAACTCATTACAGATTTTTCTCTTGTAAACATGCTACATAAATGCAAAATGAAGTTTAGTGACTTCGTGTTATTGTGCAGTGGTTTCATGTTATTGTACAAAGCAACACATTTCTGGGCACAATCCAGTCCCATACTATGTCTCACTCTTCTTTAATATACAACTTGATGGCTGCTTCCAGAAGCAGGTACAAACCTTTCTCAATGTGAGAACACCACAGTTTAATCAGTATGTTGTGACCCTGTTTTTTCAGGGCTATCACAAGTTCCACTTTTGATATAATGCTTGGAAAGAAGCCACAATAAACACAAAAAATCGTAGCCAGATAAGAGAGGCACTGGGTTTGAGTCTGTTCACACGCAGAGTTCAGAAATATCACAGTTTCCTTCTTGCTGGTCAGTGTTTATTGGCTGCTTTGCTCTTTTCAAGAATTACAACATATTTAGTAGTAAAAATGACCAGAATTGGAATCAATACACTAATAGAGAGTATGCTATGAATTTATCTAAACCCTGCAGGAACTTATCATCACGTAAATAAAGTTTCCAAGCAAACTAGACAGAACATGATAAACGCTGGATTTAAAATTTTGCAGGAAAGAGTTTTCCCCAACATAAGGAAGTTTCCTTCATGCTGAGGAAGGAGGCTGGGGAGGAGGGTATTTAGAAAAGGAAATCCAATATGATCTATGAAGATCAGACATTTTGCCAAAGAAATTACTGTAGAGTTTATTTCTCAATTTTATATTGAAATGAAATTTTTATCTCATATCTATTAAATCTGTCCTGATTAAAAAATAGGCAAAATTATTAAATTATTGAGAAAATATTTGGTCTTCAGAAACTGAAATGAAAATGGACTTGATAGGCATTTCAAGTCAATTTACTTACAGCTTGATGTAAAGCACTTAGATTTTTGTAAACTGGTTGGTTATCTAAAAAAGTTATCTACTTTTGGGTGAGTTTTATTTTCTTTGGAATTAGAAGAATATTAAACCCATTGCCAGCAACAGTTAAAATTCTTTGAAGTCTTTAATGGATATTTTTTAAATTATCCATGACTTTTCAAAAGCTTTTGAATTTTCTTCCAGCACTCATTCAGCCATTTCTGAATTACAGCAAGGCAAATAAAAACTCCTTCTCATTTTGATAAATTTTAAGATAGCTTCCTTGCTTCTAAGTAATTCAAAAATGCAGAATTGTTGCAAATCAGAGCTTCCAAGGTTATTAGTTTTCTGATCTTATTCAGCAACAGTTAAAGTATGTGGATTGTTTTAGCACATTACTGAATGAAGAGAGATTTGAGGACACAGAAAGGATTTTGTCCAACTAAGTTTTAATTTCTTTGTTAGGAACAATGTAGTATATCTATTATTTGCATTAAGAAACAGTATCAAATTTGGTTTATCTCTTATTCATTTCCAGTACTGTAACTTTTTCTTTTTTTATAGCTATGATCTTTCCTGCCAAATGAAATTAATTAGGCAAGGTAAGAAGTTGTGCTGAAGGCCTTGCCTTGCTTCCAACATAACAAGTGCATGAATTGGACACAAGAAGCAGTTACACCCCAGTTGCAAAAGGTACAGAGAAAATTCCTGCCTCGTTTGGAAAAAGACATAGATTTTGCAGTTTTCCTGTCCTAATCCCCTTTATGCCAAGGTAAGTAGCACCAATTCTTCTCAGGTAGAGCAACAAATAATGGGAATGACTAATGCCATAACAAGTTAAGGCAGCAGAATGAGATATTAGTTGCTGATTTCTTTGTTTGCCTTCAGATAATGTATAATAATACCTCTATTTCTTTTTCTTTAATACTAAATACGATGATATATTTACTACTCTTACTGATGATGATAAGTGGAAATCTGATGCTGAAAGTCATGCATTGAAATTAGTTGATTCCATCCAGTATAAATATAAATACACATACATTTTTCCTTTAGATACTGAACAGTCTTAGCAAGCTGTACTGACAGACAGCAAAATATTGGGACAATGTGCCCTTTGTAGTTTTCAGGAGAGATGGCACAACTCTTTTTTTTTTTTTTTTAATTCCAATTAACCGTATTACTTAGATTAATCTCAGAACATGTTAAGCAAGAAGATGACAAAGCCCTTAAATGAAAATGAAAAAAAGAAACAAATTAATTGCAATATATTGCAGTGTGACCAAACCTCCTATACATATGGAATAACATTTCCCATTTATAGACCTTTAGGAGATTTTGACACAGGTGCTCTAATTTCACAACCCAGAGTACAAAAAAAAGAGGTGACATGTGGGGGAAAAGAATAGCATAATGAAGTAAGAGAACAATCTCATTCTTACAGCACTGAGTGATTGGTCTTAGTCAATCTTCAGAAAACTAAATATAGAAAGGTTCGAAAAGGATTAAATCCGCAGTAACTGAGGGTGTCTAAAGAGGTTATGAAATGAACACAAAGTTTAATTAATTCAATAGATGAGAAACTGCTTAATGGCATAATTACTTGAATTTATTGCAGATATTTCGTAATATGTGTGAAATGAATACTTTAACCCTGAAATTACTGAGCTGCATGATTTACTCCTTGCTACTGAAGAGATGATTCACTTAATTATTAACAATTATTATACTCTATTATTATTATTCTGTGATTTTTAAAATATATGTGCCCTGCTTTACATCTCTCAAACCAAATCTCCTCATTGACGAAAGAAAAGATAAAAATTATTTGCTTCCTAGAAATGCATATAATACTCTGGAGATGCTACATGGGAAGGTATTATTGTAACTCTAAATCATCCCTCTACACTTATAAAGAAGTGAGAGTAAATAAAGGATGTACTACATCTTTTGCCATGAGGTAAGACAATTCAGGTACCACTGGAAACTAAAAAAACAAACAAACAAACAAAAACCCCCAAACAAACAGAAAAACCTGCTTTCTTAGTTCAACAAAAAAATATGTGGCATAACCATGTTCCCATGATGTATGTTTTATTGTAAATACAGAAACATGGAGCTATACATCTGATGTGCCACCTGGTTTTAGTTGCTTTCAAATACTGAACCTCATAAATATCACTGGCTTACAGTCTCTTTTACGTTACTTTTTCTTCCTCCTAAATGTGTCAGAAGATTATCAAAGTTATTATTGCTACTTCATTTCTGTCTGTATAGTTGTTTCAGTATTAGCTGCAAGTCCCTGGTTCACATCAGGTTCTCTCACTGCTGTTGAGGTTGTCAAAATATCAAAAGATATTTTTCTTTTCCCTGAAGATCTATCATAACCAATAAATTAGTCATGCCATCAGAAGGAAGTTTCTTGTTTGACTACATTTTATGAACTTAATGAACTTTATTTTAGAAGTTTTCCCGGAGCTTTTACACATTTAAACCGATACAAGTTTATGATGCAGTTTCTTTCTCTCAAATTAGATGCATAGACTAAACTGTGAGCTTTGAAGATCTAGAGCTGATCATTGGTTGATTGGATATATGCAGACAGAAGCAGCTTTCTGAAGGATCAAGCAACTAAAATAAATTAAAGAACACCTGATGTGATGTCAGATTTTACCCTGGCTATTTCATCTGTATTAATCAATAAATCTATTCCCTGCTTTCAAAAAGCTTTGAGGGATGACAAAGAAGATATTTACCTAGTTGAACTTTCAAAAGCACCTAGTACCTTTAAAAATGGATTTAGTTACTTTGGTTATATTGAAGAAACATGTACTTTCCATGAATTGCGTGGAAAGGCACACTGACTTGTAAAGGTGCCTGAACTGAGCAGTAACCTACATGTAACATCAAAAAGAACAATTTTTAGACAACAACATGGATGGTTTTGCCTTTCTTTATTCAGAGAACTTGTCAGTCTTATAATGATCTAAATCAAAGATCTAAATCAAAGAGCTTCTGGGATTTGGGGGAATGGGAGTATCTCTACTGATTACAAGCTCAAAAGCTGGATAATGACCCACATTTTTTTGTTGATGATGTCGGTATTAGGCCAAACTATTATTATAATTAAATCAACATGGATTTGTACATCCAAGACTGTTTTGACCTTACCTGTGCATCATATGGCTGATGTTGAGAAATCGTCAGTATATTTCAAGCAGATAGGCAATGGATTTTTGTCATAGGAAGGGAAAAGACCAGGTCACAATGCCACAAAATAAAACTCCTCAGATGCCTATGGTTTTAAGCCATAAATAAGATAATGATGTATTTATTCCAGTATTATTTCTATGCATTAGGAATATACAAACTTTAAAATAATGACAATTGATGAAGTTGTTGAGAGATATGCATTTTAATGTGTCAACAATTGTGCTACCAATGTAATAGTGTGGATTTCCTGCTGATAATCATGAGCTTTGAATCAGGCCTTCCAAACTCTCCTATCTGAGAAACTCTAATTTTTAAAAAGACAAGGAAAAGGGACCGAATAACCTCAACTCACAAAGGTGATTTATGTTGTATGGATCAGATTTCTCAGGCACTCAAAGGTACTTTTCTCCCTTCTTACAAAGGAGCCATAATTCAGGTAAAAATGGTGAAAGGATAACTCAGTTTCATATTCCTCCTGCTCACACAGATCCAGTCTTATAATCTACATATAATGAACAGCAGAAATCCTTTACCCTTTGGTAATGATAGATTCAGAGAGATACCAAAAAAATACATGCAACAGCAGTAATGACAATTCCTTCTGGAAAATTCCTCTGCATCAGGGAAGTGGTGGTGCATCTCTCTCCTGTTTGGCACAGAGCTCTGATGCAGCATGAACTCTGTCCAACTAAATAGTATTGCCTTTTATCCCTACACAAGGAAGATGCGTTTCAGCACAAAAACCTATCACCCTTAAACTTAAAATATTCAATACATTCTGGAGGAAGAAAAATATTTCACTCATCTACTCCACAGTTCTTAGTAGCAAGAGCTGATAAGTACTCACCTTCTATAAATAGTATAATTACCAAATAAGTCAAGGATGTTTAAAAAGATTAGTAATAACCTCTTGAATAAAATACTTCATATACTTAGTTTTTAAAACCAGTTCTCAATCCATTATCATCAAGATTAATCAACTAATATTCGGATATGAGGAAACACTGAGGAGTCATAATTGCACAGTGTTAATCAAAGACAGGAAGAGTGATGAGAAAATAAAATAAAAGGAGGATAGTTTTGTCAGATTTTTCCCAGACATTTGTGCATACCAATTTTCTTTTGCATATGTGACTTGACTAAGCATATGATTAATGTTTTCAAATTATAAGTCAACAACAGTAATGTGAATGAATAATCAATTGTTGAAAATAAATCTCAAAAAATTGGTTTTGAATGACTTTTCCTCAAAAGAAAAATGGACAAACATGTTCTCTCAAGTCGGGTTACAGTAAGTTTCTGATATTCATTGATTTCAGATCAATGAATATCTTTTTGTTTCTGCAAGAGAAAATCAATTTGTGTATTTAGGAGATGGCAAAGATTTAAATTAAAAAAAACACCAACTCTTAAACCCATTTTTTTTCCTGTGCATTTTGACATATTTCTGTTATCCCACATGGATTCTGAATTAAAAGAAGATGAACTTTGGAGCCACCTACTAAAGCAGAGCATCTGAAAAAATATGCTGCATGTTGTCCTTGAAGCCTTGACCCAGAAAACCTAGGATCAAGGAACGCAGGCTATATTGCTGAGTAAATATGACAAATATGACAGGAATTATTCAACATTTCTTAAATAAATCCAAATCTTGAAAAAGTACAAGTCTCAAATATATTAATCTTCTGGAGGAAAAAAAAGAATATATATCATAACGAAAGGAATTCCAATACTTCCAACTGTTAATATATTTTGCTCGTCTAATTCCAGAACCATTTTTTTTTATTTTTTTAATATGTATTTCAACATGGCTTCTTTGCAGGAGCCATTCTCATGTCAGCTAATTTTATGAAGTATTCTCTTTCACTGACTCCTAGTCTCCCACCTCAGATCAATTGAGAGTATACAAATAACTTAAAATATTGACATTGAGCAAAGATATTAAGATGTAGTATCAACATTTTCCTACAGCTATTTTCAGTAATTTTCTTCAGAAGAATGTAAATAACCTACCTGAATATAAAATGGCACCTGACTGACATTTTCAAGTTCACAGGAAAATAGATGTTCCTCTGTTATACAGAAAATATGAAATCTAAGATGTACTCTCTAGTACATCATTTTCTAGTAAAATAACTAGAACCACATTAGACCAAACTTGAGATTCCCACCTCAGCTGATTGTGAATATACTTTGAGCTTGTAAATATATTCTGTGAGAAGTAGGTTCACTGGGTAATCTCTGGGCTTTGAATTTTATTAACCGACCTTGGTTACAGCTAAATTCTAGTGCTTTAGCTGACCTAGTCACCAGATCAGGGACATAGTAAGGATGTACATCAGCTTCCTGTCAGAGTACTAACCCACATTTCCCTCTGAAAGAAATTGTCAGCAATGAAGATGACGTGATTGAGTCCTAGTCTGTTGGGGAGCTAAGATGAGGCTGCTGCAAAAACTACAGTATTTGGGAAGATTAGGCATATGTATTGCCTGTTCTTGGATGGGAGTTCTTGCATTCTAAAAGCCAGGTGTTTTGTTGATCTGGCAACTGCAGATGATCATATTCTGTAATTGTCTTCCAGGTTTCTTGAATGGCAACCAGTAGAGAAATTTTTTTTCTGTCACTGATTTTTAGAAGTGACCATTTTCTTTTTCCTTGCCACAGCTCTCTGCTCAACATTTTGTAAAAACAATGCCTAGTTTCTAAATATTCATACCTTATTCCATTCATTACAGACATTTCAAAATAAAACTCTGGAACTGAAAAATGATGTTTCATGGTTTCCATTTCCAAGTTTCTGAGCAGTTCTGTAGCATATTCTTTTGTATGCTAAAAACTAGTCTATCAAAATATAATGCCAATTTAAGCCACAACCATTATTTATATTACTAGTAAGGAGGGAAAACGTAGTGGTAAATTAATCTTTGTGCAGCAAAGAACTCCTTAAAAAGGTTTTCAGCATGCATAGTAATGAACTATTGCTATCTCGCCTCAACAGACATCTTTAAATAACTATGTCCAAAGTTGTTTAAAATCCTTTTCCTAGAATTTCAGTTTCAGTAATGCAAGGAAGACTGATTCCTCACTTATAACGCTGATCAACACAAGCCTCCTTTTTTATCTTCTGCTTAATATAGGGAACTCATGAATCAGCTATGACTTTTACATGCCTTCCCTCTGACCTTCCCACAGATAATCATAATAACACTGGGCTGCTGAGAATCAATCAGTTTTCATAAAGGCAGCAGCCTTCAGATTAATCTCATATTATTAATTCTGCAAGTTAAAAAGACAAGCAGAAAGACAAGATGGCTCTCAGTGCTATTTACTTCCCTAAAAATATTTCCTGTGGATAATAAACAAACAAATTTCCAATCTGGTGAAGCTGTAAATTTGCAGCCTTCATGAAAATTAATTTAAATGGATGTGACTGTGAGGTTGGGATTGTAAAGATTAGGGAGACTCCTGTAGTTATAATTGCCTGTTCAGTTCATCTGCTGCTCTGTCACTCAAGAGTGGCACAGCTGCATTAACAACTCTAATCATAATCTAATTCTCAGATCAAATTCCCATCTTCAATATATCCTTTAATAAAGCTTCCATACCCCATCTTTTAGCCTTAATTATTGCTTCCTGTCTCCCCTGACAACCAAATTAAAAGGTACACACAGCAGTTCTATAATAAAAAAATAGCACAGATACAACAACTGTACTGCAAATTCACACTAACCTTGTGAAGGTTGGATGGTTTCTGATAACTAGATTTTTACTGATAGCATGAGCACTAGAAGATAAGAAATACAATTTTATAATCATGTATTGATTTTTCTTTTTTTCCTGCTAATATGTAAAATTACCTGGGCCAGTTTTTAGATTAGCAAAGCGAGAAAAGACGATTTTATAGGAAAACTGTCTAGATCCCAACATGTGAACTGTTTTACTTCTTAAACCTGGAGTTCTTGATGTGTCAGTTGTTGACAGTAGACATTGTACTAGTTAAAGCTAAATCCCTTTTGCACAAGAACTGAGATGCCTAGTCAGCAAGATACTTAATTAGGCATCTACCTTATGGCATATTATTAATGCCAAGTCAATGAAACTCTTAGCATGTTTAAAGTTAGTAAATATCAATATACTTTTTGAGCAGAACCCAAACATTCAGTGCCTTGTCCATGTAGGATTCTGTTTTGTCTGCTGTTCTGTGCAAATGAGGATTTCAATCAGAGAGTTAAACTGTTGTCTATGTAAATATAACAAGATGGCACATCCTCACTTCTAAGCTGGAAATGTATTTCTCTGAAACTTTAAAAATAGAGTAATACAATCATAGTTGAATTGGGAAAATGATTAAAAATTTAACATGACTGGACAAGTATGGACAACAAAAGAGAAAATAGTCAGCGTCAGTAAGGGAGAAAAAGTTTAAGCAATTATCAAAATATTTCAGCTAAGGTAGGCAGGTTTTGAATAAAAGAGCACGTTATGGTGTTGAGATGATTTAAAAATGTAGCCCTGGATTTCAAGGGCAGTAAGCAAAGTCTGTCAGGAAATGGTTTCATAGATAAGAGAGGTCTGCAAGAATGCCAAAACTTTAAACATGGCAGATTTTAATTATCCTGATACCAGTATTGATTTGGATAAGAACTGTTTCAGGGCTAAGGAGACAAATGTGTTTGAGAAAGTAGCAAAGGATTTATTTTCCAAGCAATGTGCTGACCAGTTTTAGTGTCTTGGGGCTATCTTGTGAGTGAATGGGTCTTGAATAAACCAGGACATTGGGGACAATTTAGTGCAGGCAATGAATCTGAAACAGAAAATTCAGCAGAATGAAAAGGGTTTATCATTTAAATGGATACAGACTAAAGAATTCTGGCCCAGAAAAGAATGTGTTTAGTCATTCTCTTTTAGGATATCTAAAAGTGAGAAATGAAAAATGTTGCATAATATTATAGGTCAGTCCTGAAAATGAAGAGATTTCTCCTAGATTTCTACTGTCACATACCAAACTTAAACAAGTGATCTGAAACACTTCAATATTTAAAATTCCATTTGTACTGCATTGAACATTTCTGCTGGTCCTGGAGACTCCCACCAGTTTTGCAACTGGTGAATGTTTTAACTTCTCACTCACCAAAAAAAGAAATTCCTCTTTTTCCCTTGACTTCATTTTTTGGAACTTGAAGTATGACAAAGGTGAAGAACACAATCCAGTTATGCTTTCCTTAAAGAAGAAAACACATGAGCTGGGTGTAGGTACCTAATTTTTAATCATTAAACTGAAATAAGGAGAAATATTTCAGTTACTAATTTCTTTTGTAATTGGTGGTTTTATGATTACCTGGATCTTGCCAGACCTGAAGCTGTCATGTTGTACCAGGGTCAGCATTTGTCAAATTGTTATATAAATCTTTCTAAAATCATAAGCCCTCTATTATTTGATGGCAGTAATTACCATACAGCTTCTTCCATCCTTGTAATGTATTTATCTTTCTAGAGTCTGTGGATGTAGGAATGTGTTACTCTTCCCACCTTTTGTTTTGAAAACCAAACCAAAAAAAAAAAGAAGATATGATTCATCTCCATCATGTGAAAATATAGTTTAAGAGAGGTGTACAAACTCTCCTAATGGTCAATGGAGAGAGATCAGTGTCCTTTAAAGGGCAATTCCAATTATGACACAATAGCACTTGAGGTGAATCATGGGAAAGAGCTCTAGATTCCCCAGTATGGGAACACTTCCTTATTTTTTGGATCCAAAGGAAGCTGAACATTGAGAAAGTGATCCAGAGATAAGCAGTAGAAACCTGTGCAACTCACTGTAACCCCATCAGTGGGTGTTACACTAGTTTCATCCCAGGAGTAAGAGCTATACTGCCCCTTCTCACTGCTTAGAAACGTAAATCAGGGTCAGATGGGAAAGGGGGAAAAGGAACATTTGTGAACACTGTAGAATTACACTTTATAATTTTTCCTGTAAAAGCAAATTGTAAACTTTTTGTCCCTGATATGATTCAGCTGGGACTCTGGGTATTCATAAAAAAAGGCAGAATTAACTGAAGAAGACCAATGTCAAAACAGTAAGGGGACTTTCTGTGGGCTCAGTATCAGGTTTTGCCCTTTGCCAATCAGAGCTTGAATTTAAAAAAAAAAATCCCTATCTGATTGATAACCTTATGAAAAAATATTGGCTATTCTGACATGAAAGGCTAAACCTCATTTTTCTTTTTTTAAATAAATGCTTTGGCTCTGAGAAATACTTAGAGCTGAAACTTTCTTTGAAATCAGCTTTACATTTTGCTGAAACAGCATTTTTTAAAGAAAAATATAAGTGAATAACTCTTAAAATGCTCTGCTCTATAAATTTGATATTAAAGCTACATTTATAACTACAGGAACTATGGGATGCTTCAAAAATTTAGGGCAAAGCAGTATGGTTCAGTATCCAAAATGCAAAAGGCTTATCTGTGCTACCTACACTTCTTGTGTTAGCAAATTCAGAGTACAAATTCTGTGAGAAAAGTCTTTTATCAAGGTTTCTGACACTCATTGTTCTGTTGGCTTTGTTGCTTTCTTTCTTTTTTTTTTCGTCTTTTTCCTTGGAGCTGGGAATGGTACTAGAACAGATTTATTCATAAATGTATCATGGCTTGTCTCCATTATGTGAGAACTAAAAGCTGTGGGGTTTTTATCTTTTCACCTCTCCAACCTCACAATCTTCCCACCCTATGAAAGCATGGAAGCACTTCTATTCTATTCTTATAACTATTAGGACAGATGAACATCATTCCTGGCTTTCGATCCTTCCTGATCTTTCTCAGTCTTCACTTAATATTGCAAAAGGATTATCCCTGTTATTCATGGCAGGTGATGTCACACTAGGAAGTGTATGTTTTGAACTATACAAATACAGATAGGTAAGCACTATGTAAAATTGCAAATCTAAATAATCAATGAATTTATTTAATTATAGTTATTTTTTGCCTCTGATGAAGTCTTTCTCCTGGCATTCATTGCATCCAAATGAAAATAAACTACTTGTCTTCAGGTACTATTATCATAGAGCATGTTTTCCATTGTGAGAGGGTTTGTTTACAGGTCCCTAATAAGTTGAATCTCCTGATAATAGATCAATAAAATTATGTCCTCCCCTACCTAATTATTTCTGTTTTGATAACAATAACTATATTTTACTTCTCTGCACTTGAAAAAGCAATGTTAGTGTTCATATTCTCATAGATATATTCAATAGCTTCCCGGTAGTTTATAAGCCTATAGTAAAATATGATCCTCTTTCTTTTTGAACTTAAAACCTTGTCCTCTCTTTTCTGTCATTTTCAATAAACCACCCATAGTCTACCTTGTTTGCCAGTGAATAAAAGTGTGTGGTTCAATTACAGGAGTGATGCTCTGAAGGTTAAATCACTTCACTGCGTCTCTTGTACTCTATGTAAGGAAAGACTTTGATTAACTAAGTCTTTCACATTAACAATGATACTTTATGTTGAGTATAGCATTTTGGAATGAAAATGAGCAGTTGGATTGCCCTGTTTAATCTTTGTAGCATTATAATGTTAGGGTTTCATAATTTTTTTCAAACACATTCATAGCCACAATGATTACTTTAAGGAATAATCCCAAGGCTACAGCCTTGATTCTTTGAGTTTACAAATGAGTGTTACGCTTAAAACAGATTTCATGTTGAGGTGTGAAAGGTGACAATTTCTTATAACAGTGTTTACTATTCCGACTACTAGTTTCTGAATGTGAATGAATATTATCCCTTAAAAAATTCTTTCTGGAGCTCTTTTTTTCTACATTTTGCATCAGAAAATTTGAGAAAGAAAGTTAATTCAGTAATGAATAGGTCTACATTCTTTAGCCCTATTGTAACAGCCTAATTCTTTTTAAATCACTCTAAACAGTTTTTGATATTTCTTTTACTTCATAATTCCTCAGTGTAAGGCACAAACAAGAGCTATAATTGTAGATGTATATCTACACTTTAGTGGGACAATATTCCATGACTATTTCATGCCTTGTATATAGTTCTAAAGCTTGGCTCAAAGGAGGAGAAGCATTTGAAAGTAATGAGGCTGGTAATTTTAAGCAATACACAAATGTAATTGTTGTGAATGTCTTTATTCCATTTTTCAATTTCTAGGTCTCCATCTATTCAGTTTTATACTTTTTTACATGTATGACATCAAGTAGCAATTTCCCAGAACTCTATTGTAGTCGTCCTTGGCTTTCTATCTAACCTCTCTTCATCTATGTCAACTGTTTCCTATATGGATATTAGTAATGTAAATAGACCTCTCTTTCACTGACTGGAACTTTGTCCCAACACACTGGAGATTGTAATGCAAGTTGTTTTTGAAAACTGTGGTCTACCTCATCTATATGTTCCTTCTTCCTCAGCGTTTCTTTTCAATACCAATTTTTTCATAATTAGTCAGGCTATTTCTTTCTTTTGTCTTCTTTACTTCATCAAGAGCAAACTATCGTGTTTCTATTTTTTCTACTTTATTATGATTCATACAATAGGTATGAAATGAGGGCGTTTGTTTCTAATTAAAATATTACTTACATTTTCTTTGTTCAACTCCTTATATTGTTAGCTGTCATTAATGTGGTTCAAAGTGAGACCCTTTACAAAAAAGAACAGAACAGTGCAATTCACAAAGAGATCACGCCAATATTCAGATACCCCTTAACTTCAGGAAAGAAAGACTTAATAGCAAAAAACCAAAATGTTTAATTACCTTGGTGTCTTGATTTCTTTGAGCATCAGAGCAGTCTTAATTTCTAAGGGGAATGAAATGTGAACTATAGGATCTGGTATCTCTGACAACCACTGAACCTTTGGAGTAAAAAAGGCCTTTAGGACATCAGAGCTAAGTGAGAGTTTTTCTTGGAATAATCCATGAATCTTTGGACCACCCACAGCAAAAGCAGGTCTACTAAGTACACAGAGACCTTCCTGACTTTGCCTTCCCGTGTAGTTCAGAGCTGAGAACAATTCCCACAGTTGTTGTATATATTCCTACCTTTTTTCCCCTATATTTGGCCGCAAAAATGCATTTACAGGGCTTGACAGCATGAACTGGTGTAAAAAATTTTTCAAACATCAAGAAATGGCCTTGTTGTAGGCTTAGCTCCCTTTCTTTCTATTTCAAAGGGACCTTTGATTTTTTCTGTTGAATATCTGAGAAGGGAGTGCAGGACTCAGACTTGGAATTTCATAATTACATTCCTAGCATAAATCAGCCAAAGAAAACTGTGTTATTGCCTTACAGAAAGTGCAACGTAGGGCAAGACAAATGAAACTGAGTCTGAACAATAGATTCAATGCAGCAGATTTACTATAAATCATGTGCAAAGGTTACAGAATTTGGCTTGTTTTTCCTCGTGGAAAAAAATGAAACTTTGAGATGAACAGAAAACAATTTTGAATCTATCAGAAGGATTGATAAAACTGCTAATATTACTTCTTTATGAATCCTTATAAGATATTCAAATAAAAACTGGCAGACACAATCTACTCATTTCAAAATTTTTCATAAACAGTGTAAATACTTACACCAGATGTGAAATAAAATGACCTGATAGAAAGATCATCAAAGTCTCCTATATTTTTTATTCCCTGACTTCTGTGTACTTTGTAATCAGGTGCTTAGCTGCCAGGAAGGCCAATATCTTCGAAGAGCAGCAGTAAATATTCAATGTATTTACATTTCTCATTTTAAGATCATGTTATAATCTTTCCTGTACAACAAGGGTGAGAACATAAAAAATGGATCAGAAATAGACTGGCAGTTCCCTGGATTTTGAGGTTTTTTAAGACCATTGCAGAATGACCTCAGCTGTGAAGTAGCACATGATCTGGAAGATATCTGAAAGCAAAGGATTGCAGAATACTAAGTTCTTAGAGAAGTCATAGAGTGTATTTCAGATTTTCAGACCATTTAGTACTTTATCCCACAATTAGACTGACTGCAGAGGTGTTATCTGAATCAATATAATGCTTTACAACAAGAGGAAGAACACCACAATTCAATACAAGGTCATACAAGTCAGATATCCCTTAAATTCAGGAAATAAAGACTTAACAGCAAAAAAACAAATTTATATTTCATTTACCTAATAAATGTAGGAGTACTGTGAAGGTTGATAACCTCTAAGCACAACCTTTCTTTCTATTATTGCAACAGTCTAGTTCCAGATTTTCTTCAAAATAAATGTTCCTTACTTTCTGACCCTCTTCAATTTTTTTTTCTATTCAGATGTCAGTGGCCCAGGTTTCATGACAATCTAGCAAATTCACATACAAATAAGACAAAAAGTATAGAAAATTCAGCAACTTCCATTCTCAACTTTCTAAGATATATACTACAAATACAAGCAAGGAAAATATATTTGGGGTAAGGGAAAATGCTTCAGCAGTATTCTTCTTTTCCTTCTCTCAAAGCAGACTCCTTGAGTACACAGTGGACATAAGTACATCAACCTTTGAAGCACTAGCTGTGTTATTTCATTAGTCAATGAAAGATTTAGAATTTCTCTTTAGGACATAAGCCATCTGCATTGCCATATGCAAAACTGAACTTACAGAACCTTGTTGTTATTTATTTGTCTTACAATCATTTCCACAATTTGCAAACATGGTCCTTTTTTTATGGTTTGATGAGATCCAAAGCTTTTCTTGCCTTGTAAGGAAGTATAGCTTGAAGAGGAATTAAAGGCTCAAAGCTTCAAACACTGCCAGCTATCTGGCACCACAGGTCGTAAGAGTAAAATATTCCTGAGAAGTAAAGAAAGCACTTAGCAGTTGATGTCTTAGAGGAAAATGGGTCTCCTGATGGGCAGCTGAGCTATCTGACCCCATTGGCAAGCTTTTCCTGAGCAAAGCCATGTACCTTGGCTGCAGGATGATGTCCATGGCTGTATTCAGAGCAGGAGGACAATCTGGAAGGGAATCAAAGCCCCCCAGCCCTGCCCGTCAGCAAGCCAAGACACTGTCCTCAAGGTCACAGTCAAGAGTTCTGTCATCCTAAGAAATGACACCACATCTTCTTATTTTTGTAGTATTTTAAATTTTGGGGAGGGTGTTTTTGAGGGTTTTTTTCATTTGTTTTCTATAAGCAGGGCTTTTTTTTTTTTTTTTTTTTTTTTTGTAGGCTGGAGAATATTTTTTTCTCCTTCTGGAGAAAATTAGACATAAGTGGCTTTAAGGCACTACTGCCGACATTTATGGATATCCTGCAGCTCCCAGAATATTACCCACCGTGTTTATAATGTCACTTGTGCAAACTTACTACCCATGCGAGTACATTTTCAGTAGTGTAAATCAATTTAGAAACTCACTGTGTGTTTATGTAAAGCCTAGTTCATACAGGAGGAGCTGTAAACACTTTGTCTCAGTTTCATCACAGCACAACAGCTTTGTTCCCCGTGATGCTCATTTTCCTTAGGCTTTCCACATAATACTGACAAAGTTAAAATCCTGTCAGTATGTGGTTGCCTTGCCCTTTCCTGGCAACTGTCAGATTTGTACTTCAGTAACAGTTAACAGGATGGTATTGTTTTCAAGTAAAAGAAAAATCAAATGTCTTTGAGACTACGAGATATGACCCACTGTTTTAATTAGCAATTTTTGAAGACTGCAATCTGAAATGAATCTGATATTCAACAGGTACCCTTTCTCTATTCAGTTGCAAATACAATTAAAAATCAGTTTTCATGCTATTTGAAAATTAACTAAGCAATTTTGCCTGTGTAATGTTGCAGAAATTTGTAAGCTCACTTTAACTTTCTCTCCAATTGGAAGCATCAAATTTAGCTGTATGAAGTGTATAATCTGAATGAAACAAAAAACCATCATTGTATGTTGATCCTGCCAAGATATATCCAGAACTCAAAAATATTAATAATTCAGGGAATTCTAAAGAGCTTGCAAAATCTTCTGGTGTTTCTCATTAACAAAGTTAGATTTAACACAGCCATGACAGCACGGATGATATCAGTACGACAATGCCATGTTACCATCTCTCTGCCCTCCTGAGGATGACAATATAACCTGTTTATTATATATTGCATCATAACAGAAATTTAAGAAGTTGCCAACCTGTTTGCTGGTGGCCTTCTGTTAAAATGCTCCACTGAAATGGTCCATTAGCTGCCCTCAAACAGCCACCTGAATCCTTATTCAGCTGCAATTTCTCAGTTTAACATCTCAAACGCCATGAGAGGCTGTGGAGTGGTGTCACTGCTCTGTCTCAGAAGAGATGGTAGAGAGGTTATTCTGCTTTTTTTTGTGTGTGTTCAATTTAAACTAGGGAAATAAAGCTCTTTAGGATCCCTTTATTCAATGTTCCAATTATCCAATTTTACATTATTGAAAAATACATCTTCAGACAGCAAATTATTTCCCAAAAAACCAAATCATACAGGACCAAATGGAAAAAAAAAAGATGTAAGGATTCTGATCTTGAGTTGATGTAGACTTTAGAGGGTAAGTAACTAATTGTACCACCCTGAATGTGCTTTTCTTGAAGGCAGGAAGGGTTTCCCATATCCATCAGCCTCTGCCTTCACTATTGTCTTTATTCGTGTTCTGCCATGTAAAATTTGTTAAGTTTTCTATTCTGAGGAGGGACATGGTGTTGCATGACATGCTGCTAAAATTTCTACAATACAAAGAAAGGGATAAATTCTGGACTAGTAGATATTGTGTCCCACTGAGATCGCATCAATTAAAAGTACAAATTATTTATAATATTTTAATGATATTAACACTATTAATGGTAATAATGGTATTTTTTTACACTCTGCATTACTGTTTATAAGACGCCCCTGATGAGATACTTCACACCTTCCTTTTTTTGGTGACTGTTTCTAAAGTCCTCTTGTCCTTATGCTGGCAAATATTTTCTTAACACCAACTACTATGTTAGTAGTATTAGTGTATCTAATATGCTTTTGATGATTAGAGACACCTAAAAAATTATAGCCTGTAGTTGTATTGGGTTTGATTTTGTAAAATGACAGCTGAAATTGAGAAAAAGGAGTTTCATAACAATCACAATCTTTAATGAGGTGAAAAACCTCTGGAATTCAAGATCAAGACATGCTTTTACACATATGAACAGAGAACTGCACCAAGTCTAATGTCTCCATAATTCTTAATATTTCTTCCAACAAGGATGGGAATCAACTGCTTCTTAGCAGGTTCTTAGCTGTAGAATGATGCAGGCAAGTTTTTCTTACGCCATTTATTGACAAATGGGTTTTGGCCTAACACATCATAAAAGTACTTTTGAGAAGGAACAAAAAGCTAAGATTAGAAATGTTTGAATTTATTTGAATAATCAAAAGACCTTTTAAAGAAGTTGTTTTGTTACTGGTTGTAGGAGAGTTTGAGTCACTGAGATTTCCCTGGAAAATAACTAGTTATTTGAGATTTCTTATGTATTTAACTTTTACAAGGTTGGTTAATTTTTTTCAGTTAGCACTAATTATGGCTGTTGAGTAACGTCACACATGACCACTGTCTTACAGGTCTGGGGAATCCAAAATACATTTTAGAGGTGTTTATTTGCAGACTTCTACTTTCTAGCTTCTTAATACCTCAGACATGTCTTTGCTGTAAACTAACACAACTCTAATGAAGCTGTGTGTGTCTTTCTGTCAACTGGTGACCAACACTGTGTTTATTTTAATCTATTTTAAGCCAGCACTTGGAGCAAGACTATAAATATTGCAAATCGAGCAAACAGTACCACATTCTGCATAAACATGCACACACACATGAAGTTCGTGCATTAAACTTTTATGCCTCCAAAAAAAATTATTCTGAAGTCTCTTATCAGACTTTCTGAATGCTTACACTAATAAATAAGCACAGAGGCCACGGCTGGCAGCAACTCTCCTGCAGAGTAAAGTGTCACCCTGTGTCACTGCCCACGCAGCAGAGCTTACTCAACACTCTGCTGGTAAACTGGATGATGAACTGGAAATGCCACTTCAGATAAGCATCCAAAAGTTCTAGATGCAGGGTTAGCCTGGGAGCAGGTGACTATTCCAGTATAACCCTGGAGCAGGCATAAGTGACTGCGGGTAAAGGTGAGTGTCAGGGAGCTGCTAGGGGATATGGTCCCTGAGGGAAAGGACCTCACCCCAACTGACCGCAGCCCTGTCCCACAGCATAAGAGGAAAACAGGCATGGAAGCACCCCTAGAGCATTGTTTAGAAATGTACTGTTACTCCTTCACTCACCAACACAGTCATAGCTAAGCATCTTGACAGGGTCCTGATTTTCACACCCAAGAAACAGTCCATATAGAGAGACTGCACAGCCCTGTGAAAACCTGTATTGGTCAAACCCGATAAAAGGAGGCAGGGAGTTATCTCACTGCTGGTGTTGCTGCAAGGAAAATCAGACTGATTTGGAGATTCTGGCTAGAGGAGGTCCTTGCAAAGCCAGTGATCTGGCTGTCGTAGCAGCAAAAGTGGATGTTCTGCTGCTGTTCCATGCAGAAATACCCAAGAGGACACAGACCGGGATATCATTCTTACTGCTCAGATAATGAGTAGTTGATCAAGCAGCATTAAAACAGCAAAGGGTCTGAGAGTTTCAACTGACAACAGACTAATTATAAATGAATGGCATAACGAACTCAAAGAAACAGATAAAACTCACTAAGAAATAGAAGGCATAGGGGATAACTGTTTTGTTCGACTTAGCAGCTGAGACATTATTCCTGCTTTTGGAAAGAACACTTATAAAGTGTGGACAAATTTTTCAAAATCCAGAATCAGGGAGAAAAAAAAAAAAAAAGATTAGGAAAATATTCTTTTAAATGAAAGAAACAGAAAATACAGGAAGAGAAGGGAATTTTAAAAATGTTTCTAAGGGAGACTGGAATTATGGTCACTTGCTATGTGTAATATTCATCTTGAAATTTTAGTGAATTCCATTGATTTCCACCTGTAATAAGGGTTAAAGAGTAAACATCAAATAAGAGGCATTTTTATATGTTATTTTCATATTAAGTTCCATAAAATCAAGGATTTTCAGCCATAAGGTTTGGTCCTCAATAAAGCTGGATTTTAGACTTAAATAATTTACACAGATTGCAAATGAAAATTATAAACACCTTATTTTAAATTTTTCACTTTATTTTAAATCTGATTAGTCTATCTCTCCTCCTTCTCCCTCTTCTTCTTCTCCGTTTTTTTTTTTGTTTAGGGTTTGTTGTTGTTGTTGTTTGTGGTTTTTTGGGAGGAGAGGGGCCGTGGGCTTGTTTTTGGCAAAATAAACTCTGTTTAGTATTTATCAATCTGCCTGGAAGAGCAAGCTTACTGTGTTGACTGTGTGGAGAAAAATACCAGAATAAACAGCTTTATAAAGTACTAGAAATAATTTTAAACTGATTGTCTAATCTTTTAAATCAAAATTAAGGAAATCTTTGGTTAAACTACAGAGAATCAATCACATCTGTAAACCCCCAGCAATTTATAACATGTTTGCTATAATGCCTGAGATTGTTTACTCCACTGGTTTACTGATAAAACCTGCCAAATACATCAGGGCATTTTAATTAGTTCCTAACATAGAGCTTGCTAAACCTGATCTATATATTTAAGTTGCTTTTAGTTTTGAAGACATATTTGTGCTGCTAAATACATAATTTCTAAATATCTCATTTGAATACTTTTACATAAAACAAAGCTATCTGATCTTAAAGTAAAATGTAGTTGCCTGAATGTAGCATCTAGTACCATTTGAGAGGATCTCAGGTTCTGAGACATGCATTGAGCTCTACTCTAAGTGTAACAGTACTTAATTGCGGAAGACTCGCAGCTGAAATCATTCCTCTCTGAGGAGGTGGAACAGTAGGAAAATCCTCAATGCAAATACAATCTTGGCTTATAGCAGACCCAGCACACACAGAGTCAGTTAAGAGCTTAGTCCTCCAAGTCTAAGTGCTGCTTGAAATTGTGTGGACTGACCACTTTATAGGACACAGCTTCAGAGAAGGCATCACTAATACAGAAATATTACTGGGTTTTAGTAGTTTCTAGGTCTTTATTTTAACAAACAATTTAAGGAAATGGAAACAAAACAAGTTTTCAGCAACTCATTCTTAAGAATTTCTAAATCATTCACGACATCTCCTAACAAGGCTCTCCAAGCACCTTCACCCTGAAGCAGGCACACAAAAGTGCAGCCCAAATTTTCAGTTTGGGAAACAATTGGAAGGTAGTAACGATCAATTACACAGTTTTAACTTCAGACATTGCTACCAGTTCCCCTAATTAACAAGAGGCATCACTTCTGACCTGCTGTCATATTAAAATTCAGAATACAATAAAAAATCCCCAACAAACTGTTTCTACATTCAGTGGAATAAACAGAGAGGGGGAAGCAGAGACAAGCTGGGGCTAGACATGGGGGGAATTGCTAATTCTATGGTGAGAGTGAAAGACCTTTTTATTTACTGCAAGATGTCCAGTACATTTGCACTCCTGTTGACTGTTGTTTTAACCATACAAAAATTCAACTGCCTTCCCTCTACAATGCTGCGAGGCTCCGGAATGCTCTGTCACATGAGAATCTCTTGTTTGCCATTTCACTTTCTGGCAGTTGTTAAAAGAAATTTATAGATCATGCATCTTTGGCCAAAATAGATTTTAATCGTAGATGATGTGTTTCTTTCCTGTTACACGTGTTATGGTGCTGAAAGCCATCGTTTGTTACTGAAAACAGAAAAAAACATAAAGAGTTGAGTTCTGACCTGTAATCTCACAACCTACATTTTTTTTTCCAGACTGGATCAATTAAAATTATATAAATAATTTACAGTGTGATCATATGGGATCTACACTTAGTCCTCCAAGAGAATTTAGGTAATGAAAAGGAAGTACCGGTAAATCATCTTACTAGAGCACCTGGATGTCCTGAGTACAACCTGGACCCATTAGAGTCAGAACAACACCCACACGTATTAAAGGTGATTTTTGAAAAACAGGACTTACATTGTGCATGAACAGGACAAGCAAGATTCAAAAAGGATGTCTCTCCACTAAGGTCGTACTGAAATACTTATGCAACAGATTTTACAGATTGAGAAATCTAACCAGGATTACATGATGTTTGGCCACATGTCTGATATTCCCTGTTGTCTTCCTTAAAAAGCCAACTAAAAAGACAACAATGATAGGAAAATAATTAAAACTTGCATGAATTATGATGACAACAAATGTTCTCTCTTCTCAGCTGTATATTCTTCAAAACACTCTTTGCATTGGAGAAAATTGCATTAAAACGAAAGAACTACCTGTTTCAGTAACAGTCCCTTGACATATTACTGAAAAAAAAGTACTATTGCTTTTCTAGTAAGCAGGAGAGGCATCAGAACATTATGGGTGAACTTCTTTTTGGCCAAGTATAATCTTAACATTATATGTTTAGTCACTTGCAGAGGGAAGAAACGTGTGCAACTGACTGATCTGTCAGTAATTGCTTTCCATGTTCCTATATCCTCTTCCCCAGAGCACATCTATCTCCAGAGTTCCTTGATTGTGAGTAAACTACATTTTTTCCTTCCTGTCCCAAAATACCAGTTGTCACAGAATTAAGACAACACGAACTCTCCCTCAAGGTGGTTAAGGTGATATTAAGCCTTTGAGCATCAAGAAAAAACAATTGCAACATGAAACAGAATATTTCCACCTTGAAACACTTCTGTTATATTATTTTGCCCTATTATGCAGTCTTTGACTCCGATGGGAGGATCTCTGGTTGTGGCAAGTAGGGCACCCAAAGATTCTGCATCTTTGTGCACAGCTCAGTTCAATCAAAGCATTTTTTTTATAAGAAATATCTTTTTTCAAGAGCCAGGTCATCTTTAGAAACAAAAAGCCCTCCCACATTATTGCACAGAATGGGGTACAGGAAAAGTGACAGAGTTAGTTTGTTTAGGAAAACCTCGGAAAAGTGTTTAGCAGGCAAGTAAAATAGTACCTCTAATCAGGCAGTGCATGGGATTCAGAACACCTGGAATGTTGTTGGATTTCCAGGCAAAAAGATTTGAACGACTATAAAATCAAAAGAACAAATAAATCTATTGTCAGACTAGGGATTGCAGGCCTGAATTGGATCGCAATTTTAAAACAGTGAATATAAAGTTACAATCAGATCGACGAGCAGAAAAGTTGGGGTAAACCGATCTACCTGTAAGTGATTAGCCACTGTGGTTACTGTGAATCATAGAATCATGGAATCTTTTTATGTTGGAAAAGACCTCTGATGTCACTAACTCCAAATGTTAACCCTGCACTGCCAAGCCCACCACTAAACTGTGTTCCTGAGTGCCACAACTACACATCTTTTTACCTCCAGGGGTGGTGACTCAATCCCTTTCCTGGGCAGCTCATTCCAGTGCATGAAAACTGTGTTGGAGAAAATACCTTTTGTAATACACAATCAAAACCTCCCTGGCCATTTCCTCGAGGCTTGTTACTTCTGAAAAGGGAATGATGCAGATACTTTTTGTCCCAAGATAGTGTTTTAACCCTTGTCCTTTATCCTATGATTAGATACAGATACCCTGGGCAAAAGAATACTCTGTGGTTCCATGTAAAGGGCCCACACTCACTGTGGCATCCCTAAGGTGAAGAACATTTATTATACATAGAAATAAATAGAAAATGTAATATTTTCTCTGTTGAGTATTTGTAAATCATTATTTTCTGAAGCTCATAACTCATCCAAATAGAGAATTCTCATGAAAAATCTCAATATAGATTTCCTGTGCTTTTTTGTAACTCTTTATTCTTTACTCTTCTATCACCCATTCTCTATAATGACTGTACAATTTTTACTAAAACTAATATGATTTTTTTCAGAAAAAAACTGAAGATATCTCACACTGAAATATTCTGGAAAAAAAAAAGAAAGCATTAAAGTTTAATAATTATAGGCATCTAACTCAGGGCCTAATAATGGCAATTTTGGGCCTCCTTATTTGACATCTTTAATATATAATAACTCCAGATAGTATGAAAAAAAATAAAAAGGAACTCTTAAGTGATCTTAAGAAGAAAGGAGATAGAACAAAAAAAAAAGCAGAATATTTTGAAATTTCCATTAAACCACATTTTAATAACAGTTCCCCATCCTTTTTCAGTTGACTCCCCTGATCTCGAAATAAGTACTGTTATTCACTGCTAAATTTAAAATATAAAATATTAAAAAAAACAAACTACAAGGCTATTATTCATCTTCAATATAACAAACAATGTAGAATTCCATAAATAAATAAAAATATCTAAATTCTGGACACAAGAAAAGTCAGCTGAAAATCCATGAAAGCTGCATTTTAATTTGTCCCTTCTTTGTCTAGGGAGAACATTTCAAGGTTGTTTGCAATTAGAAAAGCTTCGAACTCTTTTGTTGAGGGAGAGGTAAAAAAAGAAAAGGATTACCTCAGCAGTAGTTTGAAAAGACTGAGTAATGCATTTGAGTTGAAGAAGGACTTATCTTGAACCACCACTCCAGATCCACATCTGTGGATCTAGTTACCATTTAGCAAAGAAAGAATCGACTTGCCATCATAGCATAAGAAAAGGCTTGTTCTGTTCTTCAAATGTTTTTAATCTGATCCTGAGGAAGTTATTTAGGGGGAGAATCTAAATGTGATTTAGGTGTCTCAACACCTTTGAGAGCAAAAGGACCAAATATTGAAAGGTGTGTGGTTTACTAGTGAAGCAGACAGTTGCTTTTTAGGAGTTAAGGGTGAAAAGCAGTCCTGAAAAGCAGAAACATCAGCATTTTTTAATATCAACACATTGTTGTAAAATTCCATGCTAATGGCAAAAGGGAATAAAACACCCAAATTGCACAAAGATTTGGGAAACAAATATATTGCTACTCATTTTTAAATGTATTTCTTATGGTATTTAAAATAAAGAATACATACAAGTGGAACAAGTTTTAAATCCAATTGAAAATTTTACTTAAAGGTAGGCACACACTTAATTAGCAGTGCCCTATATCGGCCCAGACTATAACTACGATTTAAGTCCGTGATGACGCTCTGCCCCCAGCCCTGCTGAGTGTTTCACGGAGCAACAGACAAAACCCTGTTCCTCGGGAGCCTGCAAACATATAGAGCCATAGATACATCCACAGAGCCATCAGGAGTCTGGTGGCAGCTCTGCTCAGCCTGTGCCAGGTGGTTTTGGGCCAACCCCTGGGACAGAACAGTCTCCTGGCTGTCCACCCATCCCAGAGAAGGCAAACTTCAAGGGTGCCAAAAAAGGAGTGGATTAGGAGGAACCTTCTGCATTAAGAATAAGGTTGTACACATGGCTATCACAGTCTGAAAACCACTGGAGAGGTGCAATACAATCCCTTAAGATCTGATTTTTCTCTCCTTTCAGAGGTGCTTTTTATAGGACTTGGTGTATTTTATAGGAGTGAAATAGGACAAGTTTGATTTGCATAATGATATTTATCACTACATACAGATCCTTTGCAGAAAGTTAGAGAAACCCTGAGCAACCCTAAGGATGTATGTTCTCAGCCACAGAAACCCCCTAAGTGCTATGCAGAAGTCCATTAAGTGCAGAAATGTCAAATGTATTTTTATCAAAGGTTCCAGTTTTTGTTGCTGTCACCATATGTAGTGGGTTAACCAAGCTGGACACTAGGTGCCCATCAAAGCCATCTGTATGGTCTTCAGCAGGACAGGGGAGAGAGAATGTCATGATAGGGTCATGGCTTGAGATAAGGACAAGAAGAGATCACTTAAAAATCATCATCATGGCCAAAACAGACTTTACTTGGGGAAAATTAAGTTAATTTACTAACAATTAGATCAGAGTAGGGTAATGAGAAAGCAACCCAAAACTTTAAAGACTTTTCCCCCCCCCCTTCCTTATTCCCAGGCTTATCTTCACTCCCAAATTCTCTCCCTCCTCCTCACCATCAACACAGGGGAACAGGAGATGGGGTCTGTGGTCAGTTCATCACACATTATCTCTGCTGCTCATTCCTCTTCACACTTTTCTCCTGCTCCAGTGTGGGGTCCCTCCTATGGCAGACAGTTCTCCATGAACTTCTCCAATGTGAGTCCTTCCGACAGGCTGCTGTTCTTCATAACTATTCCAGAGTGGGTCCCTTCCCAATGGGGTGCATTCCTTCAGAAACAGCCTGGGTCTCTTCCATAGGGTCACCAGTTCTGCCATCAAACCCACCCCAGCATGGGCTCCAAAAAGCCCCAGGTTCTGCCAGGAGCCTGCTCCAGTACAGGTTTCCCATGGGATCACAGCTTCCTTTGGGCATCCCTCTGGTCCCACATGGGGTCTTTCAAAGGCTGCAGGTGGATATCTGCTCCACCATGGACCTCCATGGGCTGCAGGGAAACAGCTTAGGGGGACAGTTGGCTTAACTATATTAAAAAAAAAAAAAAGAAAATTAGATTTGAAAAAAAGTAAAGAACACTTTTGATGCAAAAAAATTCATTACAGATTGTAAAAAAGAGAAGTTTAATATTTTCTATCAAGTTCACTTTCAAGCACTTTATAGATCTGGTCCCTTTTTGCTGTATGTCTCAATTGTAGACAAAGAAAAGTATTTTGAAAAGAAATAGCTTCCTAATAGATAAAACCTAACATATAGCCAGCCTCTAAAATTTATGCAAATATTTAGCCAATGCAACAGAAAAGCTTATGTTCTGTCACACCTTCCCTCCAGCAACCACGTAACCCTGTAAAACAAAACCCAGCAGCCATGGAGCAAGCATCCCCATTTTCCCAGTCACTTCTATCCATCACTTATGTTACACCAAAGAGAAATAGTCACTTTACTCTCTTTCTTCATCAGTTTGCAATTAACAAATGAAAAATAAAGGTAAAGGGGTAAGGTAAGATCATATAGTATATGTAGAGCACAAGGGAAAACACTGGGTTTAAAATATGTTTTACAAGACTACTAAATTTCACTAATGAAATCACTTTGAAAAATAATAGTTGATCAATGATCCAAGGATGATCAATCCATAGCAATTACTGGTTTTGCATAATGAAGTTTTATAGAAATATTTTTTAAAAACATGTATATGTCATTTTGTGTGTTAAGGGAAATCATTGTGCAATAGACTTGAACCTTCTTAAAATAATTTTTGACAAAACACAAAATTTCACAGTTTCTAAAGTTGCTGTGCCAGTGTTTGACATTTCAGTACAAAATTAGAACTATATTTTTGATATACCTTTTCAACTGAAAAATAAAATAATACTGATGTATTTTAACATAAACATTAACTAGAGGTTCTGTACAAGGCCAGACTTTGTGATATATTAGGCTCAGAGCTAAGAAAGTGGTTAAAATCAGGACCACAGAAGAGCCAGCAGGACCACATTCTCTTGTGTACAGTTTTTCCAAGACTGTTCTGCTCTTTCTCTCCAGTATGTGCATTCAGAAAAAGCATTCACCTATAACAAAGAATATAGGAAATTTTCAGTCTATTACACGGAGTGTGGTGACTCCTGTTAGAGTAACAGGAGTTGGGAAAAATCCCAACATTTAAACAGTCAGTGGCACCGTGATACTTATGTCATGTCATCAAATTAAAGAAATTACTTTTCTCTGAGAGAGGTAATACAAATAAATAGTTATGCAAAGCAAATGCTTTGAATCAACTCACAAGAATTTAGATGTGCGTCATTCAAATCCGTACTTTCAGGTTTTATATCCTTCTAAGGCTTCTAAAAGACCTCTTATTGAATCAAATAGTTGTGGAAAAACAAGTATCCTCTAAATAATGCAAAATACCAAATGCATGGTGAATAATTCTCTTCATAAGAAGCAAGATTGATTTTGCCTTTGATTATCTGTGCTACACAGAAATACTTTTTCCAATTAAGGTTAAAAAGTTAATGGTACAGAGTCAACAACTTGACAAAATATCACATTAATCAGGAAGTATATACTTATTGGAATTCCACATGCAGTGCTGAAGGAGCTATTTCTGGAATACCAGACAAGTACTGAGGTACAGAGACATCTTCTGGAGCACTAATTAGCCTGGCATCTTAAAATA